TTGGTATCTGGAAATTCACAGCAGATTGCCCCAGTTCTCCTCTCATTTGCACCATTCTGACTTTGTTAGTTCAGATCACAGCAAAGCCTGATTATACAGCTATGAAAGCATGATCAGGACCAGCATTTTGGCAGCTAGTTCTGACTATGAAAACAAGAGCTCAGTGCAAAGTAGTAGTTTGTGGCTCTGATAAAAACTGTGGGATTTATTTTTATTTTTTATTTTTTTTTTGCTTCACTGGAATCAGGATGTCATCAAAATGAGCTGAGGTTCTTCCATAGTAAGCTCGGTATGCTTTCTTGTAACCAGTGATTGATGGGGTATCACAGAGAAACAGAAAATGAAAAAAGACATCTCTTGCCAGTTATAGAGCAATCTGATGTACTTAGTGTTTGCAACCTTTGCAAAAGTGGGTTTTGTTTGTGTGATTTTTCACTGCTACTGCAACTTCTGTGAGGGAAAAGTGGTGAAATCTGTGCCCAGCGTACCGTAGGCAAAGACCTGATCTGACAAAATAGAAGAGCAGATTTAATTTCCATTTTGTGTGAGAGACATTTAGCATCTTTGCTAAGCTGTAATATGGCACTGTGCTGAAATCCATAAATGCATAACTTTCCTAAACTGCAAATTTATTTATACTGAATTTGCTAGGTTTCCATAAAATTGCTGTAGAAGCTTTGTGGCACTGGAACTCTACATAAATGCAATTTGCAGGTTTGTCACTTTTTCAGCTATATTTTCCATCCTTCTCATCTTTGTGTTATGGAGAGATACTGACTTTATGGAATCACTGCAGAAAGTTATAAATGATGTATGAAATGAGAAATCCCTGCTCAGAGCACAGAGCTTAATCTATGCTATTTGCTGTGAAAGTCAGCTCAACTGCAAGCAGAAAAGCTCACCCAATCCAGAAGCTACAGACTAAGGAAACCAAAGCCTACTCTAAGTATTTTTTCTCCACTTTGTACCTGGGATAAGCCAGGGCATGGTTTTGTAGGGGAGGGTAGGCATGCGAAGCTCGGTGCCCAGCAGAGGTGCGTGGGGGGTTGAGTGAGAAACTTCTGCGCCTGCACTTCAGTGAGAAGGAGGGGGGAGATACTTCACTGCTGCAGTGAGCTTAATTCCTCCCACACATGGCCATCCTACTCAAGCCAGGTACTTTTGCAGTTGCCTGCAGTGGGAGTGGGGCTATGCTTTGTGGTGTAAATCCATTCCTGCAGCTTTCTGTGGCAGAGCTTTACCCAGGTGGGGGAAAACCTGATCTTGGCTGAAAGTCACTGCATGGCCACTGCTGAAACTACTATATATACTTGTTTGTGTGCATATATATATACACACACTATACTTTAGTGTAAAAGCCACCAGGATCCAGCCCCTTGGGAAAGTAGGTGCTAGAAGATCAAAAAATGTAAATTTGAAAAGATTCAATGATCTCCCCCTCCTCAGATAGATTTTGTTTTTTTTTCAAGCTATATTTTTGGTCTGTGTCAGGGAGGTTTCTGCTAGTGAGTTGTCTTTCCACAGGAGAAGCTTCCCATTGCTCCTGCTGGGCTGCCGGTGACTGCAGAGCCCTCCTTGCAGGTACTGTGCAGCACGGTGCAGCCCCAGCTCCTGCAGAATGAAGTGTTTAAATGTGTGCAGAGGGTCAGCTCAGAAGGACCAGAATTTATTTACAGGATGGTTGGCCTGCAGTCTAACACACAGAGCTACTGCTTGTATCCTCCGTAAAATAGATGACTTGGCACTTGGTGAGTGCTACGGGTATTGCTAAAGAGGTGTTTCTTGGCTCATCCATCTCTTGCAAGGTGCAGAGTAGCTGTGGCAGCTATATAAAGAGTTTGGGGAAAAATAGAGACACATGAGTAATGGAGTAGTAAAACCCAGTTCAGCTCCTTGGCACTTGCAAACTCACAGCCAAGTCCTGCAGCCTTAACTTAGGGAAAAAAAACATCTGGAGAAATCAAAGGGAGCTTTATCTTGGAGAGACTCTCAACTGGTCTGCCTGCTTTTGCCAGGGGTAGGTGTTGAGCAGTGAAGTTCCCTGTTCTTAGTTACATGGGTTGTGACTCAGAGCAAGTATCTCCTCTTAGCATTATAACTTGTACAAAATTAATCAGAAGCTTAAACAATTGTAACAGCTAGAAAAATCTGCCATATTATTAGGAACAGCTTCTAAAATGCTGAAAAATAATATAATCAACCACTAAAGAACATCTTGGGGAACTGAAGGGGTTTATAAATAATCATTAGAATAAACTGCTCCCTGCCGTGAGGCACATCTCTTATTATGTCTGTTGTGTCCCTTCCAGCTTTCTCAGTGCATCATCAAGCATGGATTAAGGTCAAATAAATTTAGGATGAATGAACACAACAATCTTGACTAAGTTTCCAGAAATGTGAAGGACATGATCCTGTGAGGAAGCAAGCGCAATGCTTTTAATTTCAGTAAAATACTCAGATTTCAGCACTGCTTCAGTAGGCAGTATCTCAGAATAAAAGTATTGACAACATCAATCTGTCAATAAATACACACATATTAAATTTAGGATAATTTGTATACTTATGCAAATATAATGAGGATTAATCACTGTAGAAGCCAATATGCTTCCTTCCTATTTTTAATGTACTTTACCCTTTATAAAACATTCACGTTTAAAATTGTATCAGTTGCACCAGGACTGAGGACACACCAGATTCAAGCAAGCATCGTGGTTCATGATCTTATTCTTGACTTTTTTCCTAAAACAAGTTAGACTCCTAGACCAACCTTGTTTGTTTGTTTCCAGTATGATGTGGTTCATGCATCGTTTACAGCAGTGACGCTAGTGCCTCCTCTAGCTTTTAGCTTAAACAGTTCTTCCCTCTTTATGCTTAGACATGTTTCTCCAAAGCAGCCAATCTCCAGTCACTGTTTTGTAAAGGCCAGGCTTTTTATTCTCTTACAGTAGAGGAGGCTCTCTCTTCCCCAGGTGGGGTGTGGTGGAGGCAGAGGAGAAGACCAACAGGCACCAGAGCTCCAACAGCACAAGAGCTGAAGGAGGGAGAGCAGAGGGTTGGAACTGTTTCCGTCATAGTCCCATCTCTCTGCGTTGAAACAGGATAAAAGAACCCGATAGACACGTGGAGGGGAGAAGGGTGGCCTAACGTGAAGAATGAAACCTGATCAGAAGACATAAAAGAGTTTTGTGCAAAAGGTGCTGGTGGGAGCCTCTGCAAAGCTAGGCAGTGAGAAAATGAAGTGTTAGCGAGGGAAAGAGAAGTGAATGTAAGCAGAGCAAGGTGCCAGCTGCAAGCAGGAAAAAAAAAAATGAAAAATCATTGCAGTAACTGCAGTAAGGAAGAATGCAATTTCCCCAAAGAACAAGCCTTCAAACAGTTCCCTGGGCTTCCTTAGCATGGGCAGAGGGGCACTTCTGATGGCGGCACACTCTCTTGCTGGGATGAAATCAGAGGCTCCCCCAAGGAAGCTGGTTATTACTTGCAGCCTGTCTCTGTTCTACAGTGGTGTGCTGAATGCATTCTCCATTCTATGCTGTTTTTCAGACTTCTGCGCTTTATCTACCAGGCTTTTGTTGACCTCCTACATGTTTGCCTTATGCTCTGGTTTCTCAGCAAATCTTATTTCTTGATGTAGCTGTTTTTTTTTTTGGATTTGGTTTATATTTGAGAATAGAGTCTCTATGTTTTTATAGCCCAACACACCAATCTTATGTTTTATAATGGGTACCGCATTGAACAGTTGTTAGCTGTAGATGTTCTTGTCAGTTTGGCAAGTTGCAATAATTTTTTCTTCATTTTCCTTCTAGTAGCCAGAGTGATTAAAGTGTGCAGGTAAAATCTATCCCATGCTATGGGTAAAGACCAATAATGTTTCCAGCGTTTGTTTGGATTTTTTTATTTTATTTTTTTTTAACATTAGACAATTCTGATTTATCATTTCAAGCACAGGAAGGGAACTGATTTCAACAAAAGCAGAAAAGGATTTATAGCATGTTCTTCATATAAATAAAGCCACACTGCTTTGCCACATAATATAAGATGTGGCATGTTGCATTGTTCTGTTCCTTTCATAATCTATGATGCCATATGGGCCTAAAAAAATACGACTATTATATGGATTTCTGCAGGGTAATTGGCATTGACACACATATATTGATCGAATAAATGAAATAACATGCACAGTTCTGACAATCTTTGCAGATTTGTAAGATTATAGCAGAGATGATTCTATGTCAGCAAAAAAACTCTATAGGAATTTCTAATGAAGCCAAAGCCAGTTCATTAATATACATATGTTTGAAATTGCAGCCCTAACAATTGAGTTCTCTGCTCTGAACACTATAATACATATTGTCATGAGCTATATGCCCTCAGATCATTTCTGTGAATTACAAGAAAATTATGGACTGGAGAACATTTTATTATTGTGCTTTTTATCCAGAAATACAGCCTTTTAGTGATGAAAATTGAAAACACTGAAAATTAAAATGTAAATGCATTTATCAAAAGAAGAGGAAAAAATGGAACCCTGAACTTTAACTGCTTTTACATTTTACTTCTTCAAAAATGATTTTGATATTTACATCTCAAAAGCACAAGTAGTCAGACTGCAATATCCATTGGGATCCTTACTAATAAGTTACTGGTTGTTTCTTGCTGAGGGTCTGAAGATTTGTTTTAGTAAAACAGCATTGAAAACTCTTTGTATGTGTTTGTGTGTGTGTTTGTATGTATTCTGAGGGACAAAGAAAATAATTATATGTTATTTTATGCTTTTTTTCTCCTTTCTGTTAAATGTACTCTCTGTGTTTTTTACTGGTTGGTACCATACTAGATAGGATGCAGGTTCCTCCTGTCTCTGTAGAGTGGAAAGAAAAGACAGAGAAACAGTGATACACTCTAGAAGCTTCTTTACAATGAAATTTAGCAGTTAATAAACTGAGTAAAATGCATAATTTAAGTTTCACTGCTGCTGGTCTTTTTTTCCCCCTTGGCTTCAGAAAAAAATATATTGCTTTTTTGTTGGCATCCTGCCTTGACTGATGAGATGTTAGCAGCCCCTAAGAAGGAGAAAATCCATATGCCGAAGACGACCATGGGCTCAATTTCCTACAGAGGAAGAATGTTGGATGAAGCATAGAAACAGGTAGGCAGTGCAGCAAACTGAGACAACATGCGCCTCTGGTGCTGCTGAGTAATATAAGGAAATAAGAGGTTGATTGTATTATCTGAATGGAGACCATGCTTATTTGTGCAGTTGTTACTGTATACACAGTCAGAATAGTTGACTCCCTGTAGCTAAAATCCATCCAAATCCTCTACAAGCGAGACAGGTAGAGAATAGATAAATCCTTTGTATAGTATTTCCACTGCTCTTGTAATCCTTTTCTCTTTCTTTTCCTTAACATTGGAAACATATTTTGTCTGGTGTGCATTTTCTAACTCCATGCTGGGTAACAGTGCCAAACCCCCTAGATTTAAGTGACAAGCCCCTCCTCTCAGGCTGACAGGACCACAGGGTGCTGAAGCTCCTGCCCCTGTCTAAACACAGAAGAGCAGCCAGGCACTGTTCTCCCATCCCTTCCCTTCCTTGGCCTGCACACATCCATAGTGGCTTTTGCATAGGAGGATGCCACTGTGGCCAGATACCACAAGCCTCCAAGATGTGCTGTCCTCCTTCTCCCAGCCCTACACCTTCTGTCCCAGAAGGGCAGAAGAAGTACGTCCCCCATTTACAACCTTTTAGTGACACCTCCATGTGTTGAGATGGAAAATCCTCAAGTGGCCTGATTTTATATGGATGAAGACATTTTGATCAGTCCCTTGTAACAGCTGCAGTGAAGAAGGATGAGCATCAGTTGTGGCTGACCCTCCCTGTGTACCGTGGTGAGAGAAGGGAGGTAGCCTCAAATGGGCAACAGTGCTGCACCAAGTGAATTCATTTATGTTTTTGTAGTTTTCTCCTCAGAGTGTCCTTAATTAAGCTTTTAACACAGGCCCATTAATTTCAGATGCTTCTGTCTTTTCGGTGCTTAGCTTAGAAGAATTCAAATTGAGCATCCAAAATAGAGCTTTGGCACGACCATCTCTGTCTGTTTCAGCCTCACCTGTTGTAGCTGGAAAATAATTTTTGCCTGTCCATAATATTGTTAAATAACTTTCATTCTAAGGTGATAAGCATTTAGAAACTCACAAAGTATTATAAATAGCAAAATTGCTATCACAGAGAAATTACCACCGAGCAAAAGTTATTGCCATTTAGGATCTCAGATACTGAAATGGTTGAGAATCTTCTGGGTCCATGTTTCAAAGAAAATAGCTTGTCAAGTAAAGAGATCTTTAAATTAATATCTATTTATGCTAAAAATGTTCATAGCATTTGTTTTTCAGAATAAAAGAAAATCTGGTTTCATTATCTTTCCTTAAAATAAGCTACTCAAACTTGTTATTTTTCTTTCTTCCCTTTTTCCTTTTTTTTTTTTTTTTTTTTTTTTTTATTATCAAAAAAGCTATTATTGTTAGTTCTATTTCTGTATCTGATATTTCTCTTTACTTTGAAAGGAAAATGACTTCAATGTTTCAGATGCTTCAGACACTGGAATATCTTGGGCTATCAAAACAGAACACAACAGTCATGATCAGAAACATTTTGCTTTAGCATGTAAGCAATTATTTCTATAAAATCATTGATATTCTTCGGATATAACAGGCATGTTTGGCAAATTTATTTACATCTTTCCAATGTTTTATGCATTTTTTGTTCCAGTTTCATCTTTGTTATTTCTGTTCCTGTCTATCTCGAATTTATGATTAATGTTTCTTTAGGCAACAAAACAATACTTTCCAGATCAAGAGTTATGCAAAGTCATAGCTTTTTTTTTTTTTTTTTTTTTTTAGAAATAAAATGAGTCAATAAAATATTTGTATTCATATCAAGTCTTCTCTCCATGCAAGACATCTTGTAGTCAAAAGTTAGACAGACTAAAATAGCAACTGCCCAAACAGGAAAGAAACATGGTACAAGCAGTAGGTGGTTTTGGAAAATTCCAGCCACTACTTGGGTCTGGATACAATTGATAAAGAGGACAAAAGAACTAATGGTATAGATTTAATGGATCAAGTTTCTCTTCTGCAGTTCATCTCTTCATTAATGGACCATGAAAAGTGAAGACAAGAGAATTGGACCAAAGAGCTGCCAGAGACTAAACCAAGCATTAACTCTTGAAAGATTGTATCCTTGATGCTTTAAATTAAAACTTTATTGCCATTGTAAAATGTCTGTGACTTACCCGGGGAAAATAAAATATATGATATTCAGAGAGTGGTCATTACTTTTTCAGCTAAAGAAGAAGTGTCCTTTCCTCTTAAGAATGGTGTGAAACAGAGTCCTCAACTGGCCTTCCTCAGGTGAGGTTCCTGGTCAAAGACCTTTTCCACCCATATCTGTTTCATTAGTTCTTTTTCAAGGAATGGAGCAAATTTTGTGTCACATCCTCAGTTTCTAATTTAACAGTAAAAAAAAGTAGAGCCATATTTCAGAGGAATAAATCATCATTTTTCAACCATTTTTCAATCATTTTTGTCTGGGACAAAGACTGCGCTCTTTCTCCTGGGTATAACATAGGGATGACATAGGAGAAAAATGCCATACCTCAGTTGGCCTGCATACCCCTGTTCCACCCCTGAAAGGCAAAGATTTTGATACCCAAATACTGGCATGAGCTACAGAGGTTTTGGTCACTGGTTTTTGAGCTGCAGTGATTGAAGAGTGGCTCAGCAAATGGGGAAGACAGAAGCGGGTATCTGTGGAGGGAATCAATTGCCTGTTCAAGAGCCACATATTCCTTATGTAAAACAGGTGGTGATCTTTAAATGAAGATGCAGGATTTTGAAGCTCCATATTGTGACCTAGGACTATTCAGGCCCGGTTTCAAAGTACTGGTATAAGAGGTATACTGGTATCTGAGTAATTTCTGGGCACAGTGGTACAGCTTAGTTCCAAAGAACAACTTCAAGCTGGATAGAATTGCCTTCATGGTCACTAAACTGCAAGACCTCCTGTTTCTGAACAGCAGAAATGCTCAGCAGAGAAATATTCTGTAATATCCAAGCAGCTTGAGAAACAACCACTTCTCTGTCAATAGCAGGGAATGTAGCATTTGTAACTCTTCTTCTTGAGAATTAACGGGGCTGCTTTCCAGGGACACTGTTTGAGGATATTATAATTAAAGAAAAAAAAAAAGTGACTAAAATAGACAAAATTGAAGTACATATACTAAAAACCGTAATTTTGAAATTAGTTTTTTTAGTTTACTTTCTAAGTTTATTTTGAAGTTGTTTTTATTTCTCCACAACTGCCTGCCATTATATGTTATGCTCTTTTACAGTGAAAGCTGGATTACTTGTGAAGAATCTTAGGGACTACATCCAGCCTCCTGCCCTGCTGGAGGTACTCAAACCCACACCTCACCTCTCCCTGAGATGAGAGGCCCAGCTACTAGGATGCTGACTACAGGAGATGGAGTGTGAGGGGGCAGACAGCATATGTCTCTCCGACTGAAGCTGTTCCACCATGCGGAAAACCTTCAAAATTCAAGATCAAAGATGGACCAAGAGGGGATACCACTGCATCATCCAGCAGTTTGTAGTCACCTGACAGAAGGAAATCTGCGTACCCTTCCTGCTCCAACATGTAGCTACAAGCTTCTATGTGCATAAAGCACTAAATAAAATAGTAATAATAAAAATATCTGACCCTATGTTCTTTCTTTCCCCTTTTTGTTTAATTGGATTGTCTGTCAGTGCTCCATGTAGGAGGATCCCTTATTAGAAGTATGAAGCTTTTCTGACTGAATGGAAAGATTAAAACATGCTCAGTAAGCTGCTGTATTTGTCTCATGAGCTAAGCTACAAGTTGACCTGATGATCCCACAAAACAAAGAGCTGCTTATAAAATGTCTTAATTGCAGAGAGAGTATTAAATCAAAACCAGTTGTTGGTGGTGATAGCTTCCATGGATCTCTGCTACAGTCCACAGAGAAAGTATAGGCACCCTGAGAGATTACGTGGTAGTCTACACACAGCACAGACCTCAGAAAAAAAATCAGAAGGATGATAATTGTCCTTTCTTCCACCTCTGTCTTCTCCTGTTCTGCACAAGCATCCTTGCTTATATATCTGAGAAATACAGGTCTCAGTGCCTTCATGATTCTTTGTAAATATTTTATTTAGGCTCTGCTCCGTTTCCTAAATTTGAGCCTTCTGTACTTTACTGATATGCATTTACAGCTGGACAATTCCCAATACTGAGAAGCAGTACACAGAGTTTTCCATGAGGTTACAAAACAAATCTGAAACTTAACAAGCCATTGTTTATCTCATTATATGCATCTTCAGAGAGCCAAGAGCAACCTACGCAGTGCCACTGTTCTGTAGATTAATTCACGGCTGATGAAAACAGATTGTTCTTAAAAGCAAAAGCTTTATTGTTTGAATGTCCGTACTGAGTCTGGCTGCCCTGTGTCACCCACTGGCTGTAGGAGTCACAAGGCCTTTGAGGATGCGGTTGCCAACGTAGCCTCAGTGAGCACATCACCCATTATGCTTTGCTAACAGATTTACTTAAAGGAGTATTCACTCATTGACTGGCACTTTTTTATTTTTTATTTTATTTTTTGTCAGATAAATGAATGTCATGGCTGCCAAGGGCAGATGAAGGTTTGAAATATTACAAGCAGACGCCTCTTGCTAAGATAATATACACCCAATTTTTTGCAAACATATCTCTGAGGAGGAAATAGGCTAGAGATTATCATGAGAATTTTTTGTAGCTGTAAAATTTTGTTAAAATGCAAGAAAAAAACAAACAATAACAACAACAAAAAACAAACAGCAAACCTATCAAACAACTGAGTGCTAAAACTTCAGTCTTAGGACAATTCTGTTTACAATTGCCACATCATTCAATTTTAAGTGATTTGCATACCAAATGCAAAAAAATGATTAACTGGAAACTTCCCCCCTCCGCCCCCTCTGAGACATATGGTGAGACAGCAACAGAAATGATGGATGTAGTGGATGATTGCTTGCTGAACCAGTGTGTGAGAGACTATGCTAGGAATAATTCATGTCAAGATATGGTCTTAACTAAAAGACATATTAAAAACAACATCTTGACAGGTTTAATATCTTACATGATACACATAATCTGTGACTTCTAAGGCATGTGATTATCTCAAAACATGATATTTCAGTAGAACTTCAATTTTATGAAAAGATCTCAAGAGATGCTTGATCTAATGTTAAATCAACCTTTCTCAAAATAAAGGAAACTTGAAATCATTCTGAAGTATGGTATGGCCTTGTCTTTATCTAATACTGCTTCAAATCAACAGTGATTCCCTGGGGAAAGTGGAACAACGATATTATAAAACAGGTGAAAGTGAACCAATAAACAGGATAATAAGACATTTTGGATGAAAATGCATTTCATATAAACAAAGCATTTACTGCTTTGCCGTGTCAGGAACCCACTGATTCCAAAAAATACGCTACCTCCACAGGCATATATTTCACATGAATTTCTTTCACCTGTACTTCAAAGGGAAAATTTTACAGTATTTTTTTTTTTAAATTTACATTAAGAAAAATTAAGGCGGATGTTTAATAAGTATGAAAATCAGATGATGCTAACTGAAAAAATTGATATTGTTCATTGTTTGAGATTGTCTTTTATGTGAAGAGAATCAAGTAAACTACAAAATAGCCTCATGATTGCTGTAAGAGGTGTGAGATCAGTAGCTATGGTTTGCAAGCTGCCCACTTACTTGCACCTCACTCTGAGCAGACATCCTAGGCTGGGGGACACAGAACAGAGCTGGAAAACAAAGACAAGCTGAGTTAATGCTGCTCCTGAGACTGGCTATGCCAATTTGCCTTTCCTTTATCATTGCTTGTTTGTCTCACCAGTTTAGAAAGTTTTCTTGACCAAAGAGATTGTCATGAATTTAACACAAAGATTGGTCAACACTCAGCTAGTAATAAGTAAAGGATATAAAATGTCACAGAATAGAATCATAGAATGGCTCGGGTTGGAAGGGACCTCAAAGACCATCTAACTCCAACTCCCCTGCCATAGGACAGGGATGCCACACTATAGATAAGGTTTCTCAGGACCTCATCTAACCTGGGCTTGAACACCTCCAGGGCATCCACAACCTCTCAGGGCAACCTGTTCCAATGCCTTACCACCCTCTGAATGAAGAATTTCCTCATAATCTCTAATTTCCCCCCCCTTTTTTAATTTTAAAACCATTCTTCCTTGTCCTGTCATTATCTGATTGAGCAAAGAGTCAGTCCCCATCTTTTTTTAAGTCCTCTTTAAGTATTGAAAGGCTGCAATGGGGTCTTCCAGCAGTCATTATAGTAATTCTCATTAAAGAACCATGTCCCTGAGAACTGAAGTAAAGATGGTTGGGATCAGCATGCAGAACTGGCCAAGTATTTGAGTTACATCTTACACAAGAGATATTAGTACAGGGATGTCCCAGGGCAGGTATTTATATCAGGTGTATACACACACACATACACACAAACCAGGACAGGTATACAAAGATTCTCTTTCTCTCTCATCTATCTTAATTTCTGAAATTAAATTTGGGATAAGTTAGTAAAACTAGAGGAAAAAAAAATCTTACACATTCTGTAGTGACATGGAGCCTAGCAGATGCTGACCAGATGGGAGCAGCCATTTTTTTTCTCAAATGACTTAGTATTGTCTGTTGAAAAATACGGAGTTTTCTGGATTTATTGTGTTCTCCTCTGAAAAGCTTGCTCATTCTAACCAGTGATATTTTTGCCTTTCCATAAATTAGGCAAAGTCTGAGATTTACCTTGTGATGAGAGGCTAAGACACATTCTTGCAAACTAAGAAAGCTATAACATAAGCCCTCCAGTAAAATTCAAAATGCCCAGGCTTTTCTTATTGCTATTGTTTATCAGTGCAAAACTCTCGAAGTAATAGAATCCAAATAATAAATTGGCAAATAGAAATTATTTCCCATCTATAATATGTTTTTCTATTCACAAGTAAAATCCTAGCTTCCTCTGTCTTACATTAAATGGTTATTTCTTTCTGCCAATGGCCATCTTGTCAGCAGCTTCTTATTAATACCTATAATCCTTTTCTTTGATGCTTTCTGACATCTCATAACTTAAGGAGCATGTATTTCTGTGTACAAGTAGTCAGACATAGCAACAGAAGGGAACACAGTTTTGGGGCTCTGCAGAAGACAGAATGGCCAATGGCTACAGCTTTTGAATAGTCTGACTTATCTTTAAATCAGTCCTTAAAGTAAACTGACGGAAGGAAAAAAATATGCAGGACTCCCAAAGAGTAATGGACAAGGGGTAATGGAAAGGCAACAGATAACTCAGAAAAAATAAATAATCAATATTGACCAGAAGTGAAATACGAGCAGACTAACCACATATTGTTAAAGGAAACTAGAGCTTTATTGAGGAGTTTTTAGCATGCTCACTGTCATATGAAGAAACAGTTAAAATATCTGGCATTATAACCTTCACTAAAATCACCTCTCTACACTCTTACAAGAGATGAAAATTATTTTCATCCAACTCTCAAAGGGAACTTAGACATTCAGAAATTAAATATTGGAATCTGCCTTTGTAAGGAAATATCAATGTATCATAACATTTGAGAACCTAATTCAGTCAAACTACCTCTTTGATGTTTCCCTTGGAACTTATTACATGAGAATCCTTGTATGCTACAGGAGTCCAGTGGATGAGAAAATAGAAGTACAGAGCAGCCCAGGTTCTCAGCTGGTTGGTGTGGGGCTTGGCATCATAGAAGCCTGTGGAATGAATCACTTGATATTACCTGTGTCTGGCCCTAATTAGCTGAAGAGCAGCCTGGGGAGACAATTAGACTGAGTGAAGGCAGTGGTAAGCACAGAGAAATGTAAGCTATGGAGGGCAAAGAGGAAAGTGTTGGTTTGTTAGTTGAAGCTTTGCCCTGGGAAGGGGCACCTGAATAGTAACCACACTTTGGTTCATGGTTTGGGACAGTATGTAAAGCTAGTATCAGTCAGAAAAGTTTGCTTCATCTTTGCATTTCACCTTTAAGATGATTCAGGTCATTACTTCTTCCATGTGAAATAAATTGAGGGGTATCTGGATCAGTAACTTTTCTATTCCAATGTGCAAATTTTGATAATCTTTATATATTTTATTTTATTTTTTCTCCTCCTGTACTGTGCAAAATGACTTCCAGGATGAGCTAATTACATCCCAGCGGTGAATTTTAATTCTTTTCAGGTTATCTTGCTGAGGACATGAGCAAACTGCAGCACTTCATATAAACCAAAGGTTAATAATCCAAAACAAAATAGAAGAGTCAGTCCTTTCAGCTGGAACGGAGAGGCCGATATCGTTTTGTTTAGGACCTTGATAAGCTGAGATGGCCCATTCTTTCATGGATGCTTCTCTGCTTTTCAGGCAGATTCAACACACTAGTGAATTTATAGGTGAGCTAAACCCAAGCTCAAATAAAATGAGAAACAGCAGCAGAAGCATCTAAGCAATGAGAAAGGACCTTTCTTTTTTTTTTTTTCTCTGTTTCACGTGAGCTTGGAATGCAGAAACAAGCAGAAAGAGGTGAAGAAGCAACAAAAAATGGTTCAAGAGTTCATGACTTCCCTGTTTAATACTCTCAGTATTTGTAGAT